GAAGAACTCCAGTCTTCTCCAGAGAATGTGCTAATTTTCTGGCCTTTATCACAACCTGGAGCTCCCTTCATTATCTGCGCTCCAGAGAGCCGGGCTGCCTGCTTAACCTTTCAGATCCAGAATGCCTGCATTCAGCACTATCTCCAGCCAATGGCTGATCTGGCTCCATCCACCCAGCAGTGGCCCCACCTACAGCGAGGATAGCTTTAGGGCAAGCACACCCTTGGATAGAGTTTGTCTGTGTGTTAAGAGTTCCTGAACCTTAACAAAGCTCTTGCCCCAAGCAGCCCACCTGCTGCCCCTCTCACTCCAGGCCAGGTGTTCTTAAATTCTCTGCCTTAATTCAAAATGTGGTTATCTGGTATTTTTGCTGGCTGTGCTGGAACCAGGCCTTTATATTATACTTGGGAGCAGTCAGCTCTATTTGTTTGGTGTCTGCCCAGCATTCCATACACGTTCATTTGAGTGAAGTTCAACAGACAATTATTGAGGCCCTGGCCCAATACAGCCCCCTCCCATTCTTTGCCCAGTTTCTGGCTGCATCCCTGGTGCCACTCCCAGTCCTGATATCAGCCACATCTTGGCCCTCAAACATGGCAGAACAACATCCTGACGTCAGTTCACATTACTTTTGCTCTATCTCTCTTTTTCCCATCAGAACCACACTCTCTTCCCAATCCCCATCAGAAATAAAGAGTAACTAAAATCTGGTTAGCCACCCAAATCATTCTGTTATTAAACACCTTCTGTCAGCCAGGTGGTGCAGCAGATAGAGTGGCAGCCTGAAGTCCCAAAAATCTGAGTTCAAATCCTTCCTCAGACACTTACTTTACTAGCTGTGTGACCCTGGTCAAGTCACTTAACCCTATTTGCATCAGTTTCCTCATCTGTGAAAATGAGCCAGACAAGGAAATGGCAAACCACTCCAGTATCTTTGCCAAGAAAACCCCAAATGGGGTCAGGAAGAGTTGGACATGACTGAAAAATGACTGAACAACAACAAAAAGGACAGAGAAACTGAAGGAAAGAGAAACTGAGTGACATCCCACGCAAAACCCCAAGGAAGTGCTAGATGGTGTGGGTTCAGACTGTGTTAGAGTGCAGACTGGAGTGCTCGGGGAAGGCTTTGGATAGGAGCTGAGACTTCAACTGAGTCTGCAAGGGTGAGTGGAATTTAGACGGGGTGGGGGATTCCAGGTGAAAGAAATCTCACTGTAAGCCGAGGAAGTAGAAGCGAATAAGCCTGGGAGGGCGGTGTAGATGAGCCAGACCAGAGTAGGTTATGTATTGATAACGACATGATCTCATTTGGCCTGTTTAGGGATTTTCCCCTTTCTAATGATCTGGGGATTTTCATTGGCCTAATCTTAGTCAACCCTGTGATGTGCCAGCCAAGAAAAATGAATTCAATATTAGGCCACAGCAGGAGAAGAATAGTATCATGAGTTGAGGAGGTCTTTGGATTATGAGATCAGAGATTTAGAGCTGGAAGGGACCTTGGGCACCATCTTGTCCTACTCTTTCATCGTACTGATGAGGAAAAACCAAGGCCTAGGGAGCTGACATAACTTGCCCAAGACACCTGGTCAGACTACAGTTGGAATCTTGTGCTCAGTTCCTGGCGCCATGTTTTAGGAAGGACGTTAAGCTGGAAAGTCTCCAGGGAAGGGCAACCTGGGTGGTGAAGAGCGTTGAGGCCATGGCAAAGGAAGATCATTTGGAGGAACTGGGAACTTGTTCTGATTGGTCCCAGAGGGCAGAAGTAGGAATAATGGGGTTGAAGGTGCAAAGAGACAAAGTGAAATTTGAGCTAAATAAAAACTTTGTCGCCTTGGGATGGGCTGCTTTAGGGAGTCCCCTCTCCCTGGAGCCTTTTAAGCCAAAGCTGGATGACCACTTCTTGGACAAATAGTAGAGTGTGTGCAGTGGGCTAGGTGGTCTGCAGCTGAGATCTTGGGACTTCCTGTTTCTGGGAATTTCTCACTGGGGCTTTAAAAGTAAATCCAGAAACCAAAGACTGAATTCTTGGTCCACTATAGACATAACTTAATAGTTTCGGTGACATCCCAGTTGCTCTTTTATCATGTAGGGCAATAGATGGCAAGGAAGGGCGCCAACAGGGCCACTCCATAAAGGGGTTGCCTCAGTCCAGTTGTGTGAACAATTAGAGCCGTACAAGAGGCCCCATTCCAATTAGACTGATGCCCCTGCCCCTCTTAATGGATGTCTGAGCTGGAAGAGAGATTAGAGAGGAGGAAAATGGATCTCCAGATGATCATTGCACCTTTCAGTAATGCCAAGAGGATGGATCAATGGATGGATAGATGGATGCATGCATGCATGTTTGGAAAATCCTTTGAAGGTAAAAGACATTCTGTAAATGGTTGGTAACGCCATTTCTAGCCTGCTCAGCGATAGTGATAATGCCTTTGACTTTTTGCAGATTGCTGATGAGGCTGTTTCTAGAGCTCCTCATACTTATGGTACAATCTTGTTTCACAGCATCCCTTCCCATCCCTTCCCATCACTTGTGTCCAAGGTCCCTTGGAATTCTAATTGGGTCATCCTGCAATTCTGTTCAGAGTCTTTATGGAGATCTTGTATTTCTTCATGCTGTGCCAAGTTCTGTGGAGGCTGCAGAAGTCAAGAACGCGGTCCTTGCTTTAAAGGAGTTGGGGAGATAATCCATATACCTGAAGCAGCTCACCTTCTCTGCCCTAAGTTTCCTTATCTGTAAAATGGGGATAATCATACCTCCCAGAGTTGTTTTGTGAGGAAGGTGCTTTGTAAACCTTAAGATGCTATATAAACATAAACCATGATTTATCATTTTTATTATTACCTCTAAAGCCTCTTACAACAAAAATTCCACAAACATTTATTAAGTGACTGCCACATGCAAAGCTCTACGCTAGGTGTTGGAGAACTAGGAGAAACACCAACAATAGAAACTGTCCCTACCCTCAAGGAGCTTACATTCTACTAGGGGCGGTATAACATGTACATGTAGGCAAGTGCAAATTAATACAGAATAATGTCAAGAGAGAAACCTACCAGCTCCAGCAAGGGAGGATCTGAAAAGGCATTCTGAGGTATGACTTCCTTTGAAGGAAGTTAGGGCGTCTGTGTTTTGGGCCTTCTTTGTGTCCCCTGTACTGGCACATAATAAGCACTTAATAAATAGTTGTTGACTGACTAAGAGACAGAGGTGAAGAGGAAATACCTTCTAGACAGAGGAGATTACCTGTACAAAGGAGATTACCTGTACAAAGGCATGGGTGTGAAAGCTGGACTACTTGATACAGGGAATCATAGTCCGCAAGCCAGTTTGATGGGAACAGAATGTTCACTGGGTAAAACAGGAAGTAAGACTGGAGAGGTAGGTAGGCTTCAAGCGTCAGGCTGAGGATTTTATATTTTTATCCTAGAGACAGTAGGGAGCCATGGAAGATTTAGGAGCAGTGGAGTGACCTGATCATATCTCTGAGTTAGGAATGTCAGTTGGGTAGCTGTGTGAAAGCTGGATTGGAGAGGGAAGGGACTTGAAGGAGTGGGGCCAATTAGTCCTTTAAGCTCTAATTACTTTTGAACTTCATATTCGACACGTAAGAAACAGTCATTATGGAAGGTTGTGTTGATCAAATCTTCCTCAGTTGCAAAACAGATCCTACCCCACCCCACCCTTTTTTTTTTAGTGGAAAATTACCTAGCTGTGATTTTGTGACTCAACATTCTTGCTTTCAAGCATGTGGGGAGTTAATTTTCCCCTTCCCCCAAGGGGGAATTGGTGTGCAAGGGTTTCTGACATCGTTGATTTCTACTGAACTAGAGTGACCTTTATCTGTGCTCTACCCCAAGCCACCCCCTCCCATCTCCTCTTTTCCCCTCCCACTCTCCATTATGTATGCGTGTATATGTGTGTGTGTATATATATATAATATATATATATATATGTATGTATGTATATGTATATACACACACATACATACACACACACACACACATATATATATATATATATATATATATATATAATCTTTTTATATAATATATATGTGTGTGTATGTTGCATTTTATGGCTTGCCACAGTAGACTACATCTTTACCGTCACAGAATTGATGAGAAGATGTAGAGAATAAAAGATCCTACTATGTGTGTTGACTGTAAAAAAGTATTTGATTCCTGAGAACAAACTACCCTAAAGGCTTCTTTAATGAGCTCTCCCATTCGTTCACCAAAAGTATCCCCAATCCTAGAAAGATGTGCCCATCGAGATAACTTCATTAGATGAACTTTTCATCATAAACATCAGGAGAGGTATGAGGTAGAGGTGTGCTCACCAATGAGTTTTGCCACTGTCATGAAGCAAGTCCGCTGCAAAGTCCAAGCTGAAGAAGTAATCCCCCATGGTGGATGGTGAGCTCTTTCCAGAAGCTATTCTCTGTAAGTGACATCACTCATCAAGCCGTGAAACACTGAAGAACCTCCTGGAAGAGATTCGTAAGCATTCGCAAGATTCTGGCTTAACCATCCACACAGGAAAAAATCAAGTGGATGAAAAATGGGTGTTGCTCAGGCCATGACATGAAGTTAGATGAATGACCTATCGAGAATTTGTCCCCTACAACTTGGGACTGATGGTAACAGATGGATAATGAGTTGATCCCAGGAAGAGGAAAGAGCTCTTTGAAATGGCTATCCCAATAAGGAAGTAGAGCATGGTGTGGAGAGAAGCTGTTTAGGCTTTCATTAGGAGGGTACACTGTGGAATTGAAGATGCCAAGGTCATCCACTGCATCCTGGACCATTGCCAATCATCGTGACTTTTGTCCTGACACTGGACTTTGATGACTCTGAAAGAGAGAGGCTGGTGACTGTGCAACTCTGCCTCACTTAGATCCAATTCACTTGCGAGTCAAGTCATCACCCCATGATGTCATTGAAAATGAAGGACAAACAACAATATCAAAGCCTTTTGAATGACTTCAAACTTTTCCAGGAACAAAGGTCCATCTTTTCAAAGCCAATAGCCCATCAGTGTCCTGTGACTGAGTCATGGAACATTAGAGTCTCTGAAGAATTAAAAATTACCATCACACCAAAGGCAAAGGAAGAATGCATGGTGGGTGTGAGCAGGCTGAAAGGGAGACCCAATGAGGAACTTTGAATGAGGACTGCTGAGAGGGACATCATCAGAGAAATTTTGTAAAAACAAAAACAGCTGGTCATGTGGAGAGGATGCAGTTTCCTAGGTGGACAGTCTGAGTGTTCTACTGGTAGCCTCACGAGGTCAGGAGACAGAAAGCAAGACAAGCAGCATGTTGGGGGAACTCGCAGTGTGAACTTGAGGAAGGATGTGGTCAAGAATTGACCAGGAGGAGCCACTTTGGGATCTCCATCTACCTGGGTGCACATATTTTTGTATTTACTCATCTGTGGATCTGTTGCTTCCTTCCTCAGAGTCCCATCCCAGTGGAAGATCAGCTTCTTATGGGAAAAGACCATTTTTTGTCTTTCTCACAGGATCCTCGGCCCCTCACTGCCTGCCTGCCATGTAATAAGCACTTGGTCAGTTGAGTTTCTCACATCTCACAAGTCAGAGGTAAAAAGCCAGAGAGAACAAATGCTTCCGAGTGAAATCATCTAGTCTAACCCTCTCATCTTAGAAAAATGGGGCCCAGAGGGGCTGGGGCAGTGACATGCTCAGGGGCTTTCAGCTAGCAAGTTAGCCAACCCTATCAATCAAATATCCTGGCTCCCAGGCCAGTGAGTGACCCTGTGGCAAAAGCCTTCTTCTTTGGTGTCCCTGTCCCAGGAGCAACACTTTCTGTTCCCTTTTGGTAAATTTTCTTTCTAAACTCCATTCCTGCTGTTTGCCAGAGGGACTGTCTCTGCGAAAAACACCAACCAGACCTTCAGCAGAGAAAGTGCTGCTGATGTTGGAAATGGCTAAACAGAGCAGCCCCTCAAAAGGCTCAAGCCTCAAGCCTCAAGCATTCAGGCCAAGCCATAACAAGTGCAAGAGAACAGCCCTCCAGTGTGTGGAAGGGAAGGCAGAGTGATGGATAAACTCGACTGAAAACTTCCCTAGGGAAACACCCCTTTGTCTCCACCAGGTGATTCTCTGCCTTTCTGTGGCTGGGGGCCACTAACATAGAAGAATACATCAGAGGCCACAAGGAAGTCAAAAACAATTTAATTCAATTATGGCATACTTTTTAAGGGAAAGATTGACAGTGAGAGGGAAGGCAGTATGGTGTTATTTCAAGTCAGAACACCTGGGTTTGAAACTTGGCTCTGATCTTATTACCTGTGTGACATCTGGCCAGCTGCCTCCATCTCCTGGCTTCAAGGTCCTCCTCTTTGCCATGAGGGTGTGGGATTTGGTCATCTCTAAAGCCTTCCTCCAGCACCAAGTCCTAGGATATTATGAAAAGAAAGGATAAAGTACTCCTCTCTTCCAAATTTCCTTTCTCCTCCTTCCCCTACATCATCCCTTCTATATTCCCTCTCTCCCAGTAGATGACATTCACCCCCTACATTACCAATGATATCAAAGCCATCCATTGTGAGCACCATTATCTTCCTTTCTGAATGCTTCAGGACTCTCCCACAGCTTTGCCTTCCCCATCCACCTGGAGAAGTGGCCCTTGTGTAGGTGAACCCTCTATTTGTTCTCTTGTTCCCTTGTCTTCAATCATTCCTTCCCTTTCTCTTAGTTTCAGTCTTTCCATTTCTATTGGCACCTTCTCTGCTGCCTACAAACAAGCCCAAGTATCTCCCATCCTTAAAAAAAAAACCCTCTCCCTTGAACTGCCATCCCTTCAGTTATATCTCTCTCCCCTTTTACCACCAAGCTCCCAGAAAGAGTTCCCCAATCACTACTGCTCTCAATTCTTTACCACCTACCTTCTTCTTAGATCCTTATACTTAAGCTTCCAACCCTATTACTAGTTGGAAATTGCTCTCTTCCAGATAACCAATGAGGTCCTGACTTCTAGATACAGTAGCCTTTTCTTAATCCATATATTCCTTGACCTCTGACACTTTTGACCCTGCTAACCAGCCCCTTCTCCCACATATTCTCTCATCCCTGGGCTTCCTTGACACTGTTGTCCCCAACTCTCTTCCTACTTGTTTGAGCACTCATTTTAAGTCTTTAAAAGTTCATCATCCAGTGGTATATGAATGTAATGGAATACTACTGTGCTATAAGAAATGATGAACAGGTTGACTTCAGAAAAACCTGGAAAGACTTGCATGGTCTGATGCTGAGTGAAGTGAGCAGAACCAAGAGACTTTGTACACAATAACATCCACGTTGTGCGATGACTAATGTTGATAAACTTAACCCTTCTCAGCATTACAAGGATCTAAGACATCTCCAGAGGCCTCGGGATGGAAAATGCTATCTACATCCAAAGAAGAACTATGGAAGTTGAATCTCTGTCATTTTTTTCCCTCTTCTGTTGAGTTTTGTTTCCTCTTTCTGATGGTTCCTCCTATTGGTTTTAATTTTTACTTATAACTTCACTAATGTGAAAATATGTTTAATAGGAATGTAAATGTATAGCCTATATCAGATTGTGTGCCATCTTGGGGAAGGTGGTGGGGAGGAAGGGGGAGAAAAATTTTAAACTTGAAAGCATGTGGAAGTGATTGTTGATAAATCAAAATAAATTAATAAAATTTAAAAAACAAATAAATAAATAAATAATAAATAATAAAAGTTCATCATCCACCCTCCCAGTCCCTGAGTAGAAGAGTCCTTCAGGTTCAGGACTATGACCTTTTCTCTTTCTCTTTTCTCTTCCTTGGGTATCTTATCAACTTTCATAGATTCAATCATCATCTCTATACAGATGATTCTCAAGTATCAATGGCCAGCCCTAATCTCTGTATTGCACTCCAGTTCTGTATGGCTGGTTGCCTGCTGGACATCTCCACTTAGATGAACCTTCAGCATTGAAGAATCAATGTCCTATACATGACTGATCATCTCTCCCCCTAACCTCAAACTTTGGAAGGCACTAGTCTTACTGTAATTCATAACCTCAGTGATTCTTAACTCTTTTCTCCCCATCATCATCCCCTATAGCCAATCAGTTGCCAAACCAGAATGGAATCCTGTCTTCTGGAGGCTGGAGCCTCTACTTACTGCATCTCTCTTTCAAAGACGATGATGATGATGATGATGGCTCCTGACTGCAAGGAAAACACAGCTGGAAATAGGAGAGCCTTCCATTGGTCCATGGTGTCACCAAAATGCTATGCTCATTACAACCCCAATGGCTTTGCTCATGTGGTTTCTCTTACCTGAAATCACCTCCCCACTCTTCTCTACCTCTGAATTCCCTCATCTTTCAAGGGCCAACATTAAGCCCCTTCCTCTATGAGGACATCTCATCAAGTGTAGCCTGCACCGAAGCCCCAGAACACTTAAGAGCCTAGAAAACAAAAGTCTAGTATTTGGTTCTGGTGCCATCAAATACTGATCTTGGGGAGTTTCATACCTCTCCAACTAGACTGGAAGTTCCTCATTAGGAAGGGGCAGAGTGTGGGGGCAGTAGGAAGAGGGCTGAATTAGGAATTAGAGACCCTAAGATTAGAACCCCTCAGTTCCGGTCTGCACTCGTTGATTCTGCTTGATGACCTCTGTACTTCCCTCAGTCTCTAAGCCTATGGCCCTGTGACTTCATCTTCTGTTTGTCCCATAGCCCCATGACATCTCTCCCAGGGCTGGACTGAGAGCTGTTCTTCAATGTGTTAGTAATCTGTGGTCTCATCAGTGGAAGCACCTTCTTCATTGTCACAGCTAGGAAACCCTTCATGCTGGTAGGCAGCCTTTATGAATCACTGTGTAGGGTGGTATAGTGGCTAGAGAGCCAGTCAGAACCAGGAAGACCTGGGTTCAAGTCCCATCTCTGATATATACCAGCTGTGTAACAAACAGGCAAGGCATTCTTTGCTCTGTACAGAGAGGAAACTCATAGAAGGAGACACCTATTGTAGATGTGGAAAGGCTATCCTGTGTAGTGTAGTGAATAGACAGCTGGCCTCACAGCCAGCAAAATCACGGTTCACATCCTGCCTCTGATGTATACTAGCTATATGACCCTGAGCCAGCCATTCAGCGTCTAAGTGTTCTAAACAGCCCTGTAGGACGAGAGGTTGTAGGGAAGGTGGTGACCAGCATTGATAGAGGAACTTCCTCATGTGAGAGTCCCCTGTACTAATAATAACATAGGGCCAATCTCTGGCTCTCTTCCTATTGACCAACTTTCTGGTGCAGAGCTTCACTGGACTGGGATAGGCTGGTCCTCTTAGATAAGACCCACAGACTGCCAGTGAAAGGCTGTCCAGCTTGGTAGGATCTGTCAGAGCTTATCCTAGAGTGGTGTAATCTTTGGTGATCTAGTCACCTCTTCACCATGATGACACGTGAGAATAGCTTTGAGGAGGAGACTTCCAAAGGACCTCAGTAAGGACTTCCCAGGAGCCCCACTCATTCTGACTGTACTCTCTTTCAGACATCTCCCGGATGACCCAAATATACAATGGAACACAGAGCTCATGGCTACCCTTCTCCTAAGGCACATCAAGGCCAACCTCATTGATCTGGTATGTAACCCTAGCTGACAAAGCCCAGGGACTCAGTTTATCCTCCTGTTCACCCACACAGGGTTTGTACTGAATCCTGGATCCCTGAACTTGGAGCCAGCAGACCTGGGTTTGAATCCTGGCCCTGCCACTCATGTGCTCCAAAGCCTTCTTGGAGTATCAGTTCCTTTATCTGTAAAATGGAGATAATCCTATTGATGCTCCTGCCTCCCAGGGTTGTTGGGAAAGCAAGGTGCTTTGTACATGTTAAACCACTAGCAGTGATGGTCACTTTGTTGACTTTTCATTGAAAGATGCTTCATGCTTTCACGTAGAAATTTAAGTTACCATTATCCTCTTCCATGTCCACAGCTCTTAGTGGACATGATTATACCAGAAGGTGCCCAGACTCGTTACCTTCTTCTTCAGTGGCTACATGACCCAGGGTAATAATAACAGGTTAATAAGGTTGTGATAACTAACACATGTATACAATAGTCCCCAAGACCTGCCAAGCAATTACATACACGATCTCATTTGAGCCTCACAGCAATCTGATGAGCCAAGTATCAAAGGCAGTGTTATACCCATTTTGCAGATTAGAAAATCAAGACTCAAGAGAGGTGAGATGACTTGCTCAGGGTGACTCAGCTAAATGTCAGAGATGAGATTTGAACTCAGATCTTTCTGACTTTCTCCATTATGCCATGCTGCTCCCCTCCTGTGTGCCCCTATCCCGTTGTCTCCGGTATCCAAATATCTTTGGGGTTTTTCTCAAAACTAACAAGGTCATTTTGTTAAGGCAAGATACTAATGAGTGCTATGTAGCCTGTGTTCAGCTGAACAACTCCCATTTCTTTGGTACTTTTGAGGTTTCCAAAGTACTTACCTACAAGCCGGTAGTTTAGGAAGTACAAGCATTCCTGTGGTACAGAGGAGAATACAGAAGTGACCTGACTTACCCACTGCCTGACACAGTTATTAAATGTTGGAGCCAGGATTTAAACCCAAGTCTATGGACTCCAAGTCTAGCAGTCTTCTACCAATAGACCCCAGCTGCCTCCAAGATCCAGAGGAAAAAGATTTGCATTTGGGAAGTGAGCCTACCCAATAAAGTCCAGCTCAGGTCCCTTCTCCCAGTGCCTCTCCCCAAGGCAGGAGTGACTTTTGCCCTCAGATCTCACAGAGCACCTGGTTTTGTAGTGCTCTAGTGCATTTGTAATATAAAATTGACTATCCTCATTATCTGTGTGTCAGTGTGTCAAAGATGATGAGACTGTAAGCTCCAGAAGGGCAGGGGTTGTGTCTCATCTGCGCTTTGTATCTCCCACCCCAGGGCTTTGCACAGGAAGGGATTAAGAAATCTGCTCTTTTGTTGTATGCCCCACATGGGAATCTGTAAACCCAGCACTCACATTAGGGACAATGATTGTTTTGGGGGAGATTTGCTTGGTCTGCTCTGGAAAGATCCTACCATTGCTCAGCCTCATTTGTCTTTAGACTGGTGACCCCCTGGGCCGAGCTGTGCAAAAAGAGACACTGGTATAAGACGACCAGTCCTGAAACCTGAATTCTGGTCAAGTCACTTCACTTGGTTAAGTGACTGAGACTGGCTGGTAGGCAGCCTTTATGAATCACTGTGTAGGGTGGTATAGCAGCTAGAGAGCCAGTCAGAACCAGGAAGACCTGGGTTCAAGTCCCATCTCTGATATATACCAGCTATGTGACAAGTAGGCAAGGCATTCTTTGCTCTGTACAGAGAGGAAACTCATGGAAGGAGACACCTATTGCATGTGTGGAAAGGCTATCTGTGTAGTATAGTGGATAGACAGCTGACCTCACAGCCAGCAAAATCACGGTTCACATCCTGCCTCTGATGTATACTAGCTATACGACCCTGAGCCAGCCATTCAGTGATGATGAGACCTGTCGCCCGCAACAAGATTGCACACCGAACAGAGAGGCGTGAAATAACTTATGACATAGGCCAGGCGGAGTAGAATTACTGACTCAGTTTATTCATCTGAGGGCACAGAATATATAGGGAAGATCTAGCCTAACTTCAAAGAGTCCTCCCCATGAGTTACTCCCCAGAACATCTGCTGAGGATGTGACAATCATGAATTTCCTCCTTATCAGGGTTCATAGATTGGGCTGTAGATTCCAAGGTTTTCCCAGGCACCTTGGCGCCACCTGCATAGAGGAGTGAATATGTAAATCTAAGGTTCAAAGAGCGAGAAGGAATGTCTCAGAGACCTCTTAATGAGGAAGGAATTGGGGAGCCGTACCACTTAATCAGTGAGCCCTTTTGGGTAAAAGCCTGGGCAGAGGTCAAACTCTGCCTTGGATCTTAAACCCTTATCAGACTCTTAAGATTGGCCCTCAACAGAGACTAAAATGTATCCTGCACTTACCTGTCCATTTCATAGCATAGCTGCGAGGATTAAATGGGATTTTTTAAGTGTGCTGATGTGCTTTGTAACAATAAAGCACTCAACACATGTGAGGCAGATAGAGAAGGGAAAGGTATCCTTAGCCAGCCTTTGAATCATGGTCCTAAGGCCTTTGTCAGTGGTGAGATGGGCTGTAATCCCAGGGTACCTAAAAGGAACCACCAAAGAATCTGTCAACCCCAATTCCCTGTGGCTTTCTTACCCATGACACAATACGGCCTGTTTTCCATCAGCCCCGGAATTTAACCTCTTCTCCAATGTGAGAGACACATTTAAATCAGCCTCCAGTTTAAGCAATTCAGACATCTAAAAGAACATCTAGGGCCTTGGAAGTCAGCTGCCCAAAATCCGCTCATTGACCACACATTGGGTTCCCAAGCAGAGAGGGCGTACCTGGGGAAACCAGCCACATCCAGTTCAGATTAGAAAATGCTTTTCCTTCAGTTAAAGGACAGGTGTTTCCAGGGACCACAGACTGTGGTGCTCTTCCCAGACACTGATACAAAATCCCAGGGGTTCATTCCCAAGGTGGGAGTTTCTGATAATGTTGTGTGATCCCTAGAGAACCTAGAAAGTGTGATGACTCCTGGAGCTCCCGTGGTAGTGCTCTCTTGCTTGTTAGGGTGCCTCATGCCAGTGAAATCTCCTGCGGCTTCCCTAATGTCACTCAGCTAGCCACTGATGGAATCTTGACTAGCATGTGTCTCAGCCAACATTATCTTGTCTTGTTTGGCCAATAGACTGCAAGCATCGAGCAGGAATCCTCACTCTTGTAAGATGATACATATATCATTAGAAGAGATGTGAGAGACCATCCAGTCCAATCCTTTCATTCTATAGATGAAGAAATTGAGTCACAGAGAGGTTAAGTGACTTGCTCATGGTCACACAGCCAGCAGGATTTGAACTCTGGCTCTCCCAACTCTAAGTGCAGCGCTCCACCTGCTATTCCACCTAACCATCTGAACCAAACCATTTTTCTGACTTCCCGGGATGTGCCTGAAGCTCCTCTCTAGCCCACATTTCAAGTGTGTGAATGAGTTTGTTATCCAATCTAATATACATTCTATAAGCACCTACTGTGTGCTAAGCACTGGAGATATAATTAATAAAAAGACGGTCTCTGCCCTCAAGGAGCTGATGGGGTTCACTCATAGCTTTCCTTACTGCTGTTCTGGCCTGCACCCAGGGTGATCATATTGAGTCAGGATAAGTATAATAATTGTAGCTTACACATATGGTAAATATGCTCTCTGGCCTCATCGCCCACTCAGGGTTCTAGGGTTATCTCTGAAGGGTTGGGTGTCTTTCTTTAATACCATCAGCTTGAGCCCCCGATCAGGGTGTATTCCCCCCTGATTTTATTTCCTAGTTATTAATACCCCAGTTTCATTTAACTAATTAATATAATTTTTAAAACAAAATATTTACTTTGAAGGTATAACAAAAATATGTATAAAAGTTTCCCCCAGCACTGCAGGGGCACACTCTCTGCTATTCCACCCTAGTCTCTGGGGAGAGGAAGCTCAGACTTCATCCAGTGTTCATATCCAGATGCAGCATGAAAGCTAGATGAGCCCTCTTCCCAGCTTTCCCTGGGCATTAACACTGGCCTGGCTAGAACACCAGCATGGATGCTGTCCCAGACTCCCAGATGGGCTCGCTCTTCTGACCTTCCTTGTACCCTGCCAACTTCCTTTACTTGAAGTGAAAGAGCCAGTGGTGAGGCCCATATTCTTGGGGCCAGATGTTGGCTTCAGATGGCAAGAGGGCCAGAGGCCTCTCCTCTCACATCATCACCTCTCCCCATACAGCGTGGTCTAGCAGGAAGAAGTCAGATGAAAAGACAAATTAAACTGAGAAAAAAGAGGTTCAAGTGAGAGAGAGTCCAGGGCCAACTAAGGACTTTTGATGGGCCCCAGTTATAGGTCTGCAGCTGCAGACCATCAAAGCAGATGCCATTCCCCATGTGCTAGAAGACCAGAGCTGTTTATGGAGTGTCTACATGTGCTCAAAAGTCTTTCCAATAGATTTCTCTACTCACCATCAACTCACCCCGAAAGGGGCTCCTCAGTCTCTTCCATGTGGGAAATTACATCAGTGGTGCTCTGTGAATGCTCATAGGTACTAGACTTATTGGCCAGCCCCTCATTGCACATGTATCTATCTATTAGCACTTTCTTCTTTTTCAAAACACTCATTTATTACCCAAATGGCTAAAGTGATTTATCCAAGGTCACACATTGGGTTAATGGCAGAGCCGAGAGTTGAATTCATATTGTTCTAATACAGCAGATGTATGAGGCTGTGCTGAAGAGGTAGCCAAGAGTAGTGAGACCTTCAATATGAATGGGGATTTCTCCTGAACATCCAACTAAACTAAAAGTACTTTCAAACATGTCTCCAGGAGGCAGGGGAGAGGTAGGGCCATGAGGTTGCCTTGCGATGGGGTGGGACTCTGGAAAACAATCCTATGCTGGGCTCTGGCAAAGGTCCCTCTTAGGGCAGAGGTATCTCACTGAGCCAAACCAGAAAATGATTCTCTCAGCCCCCCAGACTGAGAAGGCAGAGTGTTTGCTGCAGGGGACAAAACACTGGATCTGGTGGAAAGGAACTTGGATTAGAATCCTGGCCCTACTTTTTACTACTTGCATGACCTTGAGAAATCCAATCCAGTAACCAATCTAACAAGTTTTACTTGTCTAGGAACATTTGTCACAAGAGCTTTTCTTTTCTTTTCTGTTCTTTCAATGGGTGAGGGAGGTGGGAGGTAGAGAAAAGAGATTTTATTCAATTGCAAAACATTAAAAATTTTTAAACAGTCGGAGAGAAATATGTTTAAATATAACTAACCCAATAGGCATTGATAAAGGGCTTTCTCTGTGCTAGGCACGAAGACCAAACCCAAAAAGAGTAGGCCCTCAAGGGAACTTAACTTCTACTGGGTAGATGAGGGAGAGACAGGCAGAGAGACAGGAACAGAGGGAGACAGAGAGAGATCCAAGCTGGCATGGTCCCTATCCCCTCCAACAGAACTCTCTTCTCCCAGATGATCTCAGGTAACATTCATGAGAATCTTGAACAAGGAAAAAATATGTTGATATATAGTCTGGGTTAATATTTAAGAATAGATGAGCAACCAGCTAGCCTTCCCATTCTCTCCTTGACCATTTCCCTCACTTCTGGAAAAGGGTGGGTCTTGGAGTCAATCTGCTCCCAGTGGGTGGGGAGTCAATGACATAAACACTGTAAAGATATGAACTGTAAAATTTGTAGAAAAAGGTTGAGTATCAGGCTTAATTCAGTTTCCCTATGAAAAGCCTTTTTGTCCTTGACCTATCACTCATCTTTCAAAGAACCTTTCCCAAAAATTTCAGAAAAAATATTATTTTTTAGTATTTCTAGAGAAACTAGGAAGTTTTTAATGCACTTCCATAGTTTGGACAACAGGCTGTTTTCATCCCCCGGGTTTCTTACATGGATTGTTATGATGAACACTTTTGAATGGCTATAAGTGTTTTAGGACTTGGTCTGGCTGGCCCAAGATGATACACCACCCCAAAGCATAAAATGATAATCCACATTAGAGAATGTTATCACCTACAGAGAATCCCTCTTCAGGGCAGCTAGGTGGCACAGTGGATAGAGCACCAGCCCTGGAGTCAGGAGGTCCTGAGTTCAAATCCCACCTCAGACACATAACACTCACTAGCTGTGTGACTCTGGGCAAGTCACTTAACCCCAATTACCTCACCAAAAAAAAAAGAATCCCTCTTCCACTGGACTCTGAGCTGGACACACGATCATAAATTTAAAGTTGGAAGTCATGTAGTTTTAATCTGTCATTTTACAGAAGAGGAAACTGTTCTGCAGAGGCTCAGTGACTTGCCCAAGGTCATTTGGATGGTGGGCAGCAAAGCCAAGATACAAATCCAGGGTTGTTTCTAGTGTGCCACACGTTGTCCCTCGGTGAGATCAGCCAGTGCTCTGGATTAGCGTGTATCTCCCTTAGGTATTAATCATTCCGACTGTTGAATGGCCATCTCTTTTGTGGCATCATCTAAGTATCTTGCAGGATTCTGCTATGTGCATGACGGAGGCCTCCTTGGAGGAAATCCTTGAAGTACATTTTGTTCTACTAAATCAAAGACTTTTTTAATAGTCAACAGACAACCCCGTAGGACCTCGTATTCTTTGCCCCCTGTAGCCAGTGATGTGACTCTAAGAATATGGTCTCTTGTAGAATATCATTTGAGAAAGTCTATATTTTCCATTCTCATCAAGGAAAGGCAGTGGAGTATAGTAAGTAAAGTGCTGGACTTGGAATCAGGAAGCTCAGGGTTCAAATCCCACCTCTGACATTACTAACCCTGAGAAGATTTATTCACATCTCTGGGCTTCAGTATCCTCCTGTGTAAATCAGGCTAAAGACACCTGTCATTCCTACCTCATAGGATAGTTGTGAAGCTCCCATCTAATTAAATAGTTAAGTACCTACTGTGTGCAGAGCACTGGAAATACAAAAGGGATAGCCTCAAAGAGAGAATTTTTATTGAAGGATATAGCATTCTTCACTAAGCTAATGTATAGAAAGAGCTCTGCAGACTTTAACTGCTATATCCATATTGACTTAGTATAAGAATATCCTCAAGAGAATGTGTCTTCATGCGTAAGTGCATATGTGTGTGTGTGTGTGTGTGTGTGTGTGTGTGTGTGTTTGAGTGCCCATGGGTGAGCACATGCACAAAGAGGTTATTCTGGCTAAAAAGCTAGACTTGGAATCAGAAAGACCTCAGTTCAAATCTGGCCTCAGCTATTTACTAGCGGTGACACATTGAGCAAATCACTTAATCTCTCTCTCAGTCTCTGTTTCTTCATCTGCAAAATTGAGATAATAATAATTAACATTTGCCTCACAGGACTATTGAAAGCTGCATATGAGATAATTCTATAAAATGCTGTATAAATGCCAGGTATTATTACAAAAACCTTAAAGAGATGAAAAATAGACGTGTGGAAACATTAAGAAACAGGAGGCAAAATAGTACAATCAAGAATGTGTCAAAGTGTGATCTGGTGATCCTGGCGTTTCCCAAGACCCTTTTGGGGGTCTTCAACATCAAAACTATTTTCATAATAATACTAAGACTTTTTCATTTCTAATATGGTAAATATTAGTAGATAAAACCAACACAAAAAAAGCTCTTTGGGGAATCATCAATATTTTTTAAGAATGTGAAGAGATCCTGAGACCAAAAAGTTTGAGCTGCTGGCATAGCAGCTAAAGAGCCAGCCTCAAAGTCAGGAGAACCTGGGTTCAAAACTTGCCTCTGATACATACTGGCTGTGTGGCCCTGGTTAAATCCATTTAACCTCGGTACCCCAAGCAACTCTCCAGGGACTCTAAATTACAGGCAAGTGGTAATCTGCATTGGTGAAGAGAGTTTCCTCGCTGGGAGTTTTCTATACCAGTGAAGGCACAGATGTGGTCCAAAGGAGAAAAAAAGTACAACTGTAAAGAAAACACCAGGAAATATGGGCCTATGCACATGGTGAGGCACACAGTGAACAAAGCAGAATTGGGGAAAATATACAGATGTGTATGTATGTATATGTCATGCCTACAATTGTGTAATAAAGAATTATGATAAAGACCAGGAAAAAATCTACAGAAAAAAAACCCAGAGACCAGAAGAGGGCATGGAAACAGGATGTTTCTGATCATTGGATTCTACACATTTGTTTTAACAAATTGTCATTTATTTGTTATTTGCGAGATTTTTTCCTAACTTGTTTTTCATTTTGTACATTTTAACATCTGATTTCAATTGAACCAAATTCTCAGGCCATTATCTGGATGCCCACTTGTGGAGTTGTGGCAGGGATTGTCCTCCAAGCCTAGAGTATCCCAGAATGGGCCAGATGAGCTCCTGGGCCCCCCAAGCTCCGAGGCACTGGGAAGCTCTCTCTAGTCAACCTACCTAGGAGGAATTTCTCTCCTTTGAGTGCCTATAGGCTTTGGCAATCAGTCACCTGGAACAAATATCATTTTCCAGCTTGTATTTAGGCATTTCTATGGATAGCTGTCTCAACTCTCTTATTAGATTCCAAGCTTTTTGAGGGTAAAAACACTGTCTTATTCATTTCATCTCCTCCATAATTGCTTGCATATATTAGGCTCTTAGTGCTTATGGTCCAATGCCATCTCCTATACCTGCAGCATGCACTAGGTACCTAATAAATGGTTATTTCCTTCCTTCCTTCCTTCCTTTCCTGGCCATATTTGTTGGCGCTGGCCCCTGCTTCAGAGCTTTCTTAGCATTTACTTTGTATCTACTTAATGTATGTTATTCTCTTCCAACAGAGTCTAAGCTCCTTGAGGACAGGGTCAGTTTCATTTTTGTCTTTGTATTCCCAGAACCTAGCACGGTGACTTGCCCTTGGCAGGTACTTGACAAATTCTGGTTGAATTGAACAGTAATCTGCTGTTGGGGAGAGACATATTAGAAAGACACTTACAGTAACGATGACAATAACAGTGATATATTGGCAATACAGTGATTTCCACCAGTCTGTGAGCAGGCATGTTCTAGTAGCAGCCCTAGGTGTCTGGATAATCCTCATTATTTCCTGAGATGATGGCCCAGTGCCTCTGGAGGCACCTTCTGAATCATCAAGAGAGAGAACTCGTGCACTGCCTGGTCTTAATACAAAATGTATCGAAGGCATTTGGATTCCTTAAAAACTAGTGATAGATGGTTTGCTGAACTATTCCTGGCCCTTCTGAGCCATAGACTTGCCTGTTGTTGCAGTGAACTTAATGGCTGTCCTCAAAGAAAGAATATGTTTTTTTTTTCTCTACCAAGGAGGTAAAAATGACCCTTTCCCAAGCCCTGAACTTGAATCCTCCCCATCCCCCACCCCCACAACCACTCCCTACAGTGAAGGCCTTTGGGCAGTCCAGTATCTGTGAGGAGCGTTTAGCCTCCACTCCACCCTGGCTGTGAGCAATTCCCATTCTTGGGACCCCAACACTGGCCCTCACTGGTCTCAGCGCCCTATCTGGTGTCACTTCCTCCTCAGAGCCTTGGCCCTGGCCACCTGCATGCCTTGGCATAGGGCCACTCTGTTCCCTCTTTCTTAATAAAGTGTAGCAGAACAGGTGTCTCTCCCCCTCCCTTTTCAGCAGCCCTGCCTGTCTGACTCTGGCCTGGCTTTCTCTACAGGTGGTGACGTTTGACAGTGGTGGGTGAGCGGTCATGCCAACCACATTGCCCTTTACTCTGCAGTAAGGTAGGATATGGTGGGGGGAGTGGGTCAGTGCTTCCTGCAATGTCTCCATCATTTCTAGAATTGACCACAGCCAGGAGCCATGTGTGCTGGGGGGCGGGGCGGGGGGGGAGTTGGACAAACTGGGGGAAGAGGAAGGATGGGGGAGGGGAGGTCACTTCCTGCAATGTTTCCTACCAACCAAAACAAGGAACCACCTGTGTTGGCAGGGGGAGGGGACCCAAAAGCCTGTACTGTTATGAGCAGGCAGGTCTAACCACAACCAATAACAACAATGGTGCCTTGGAAACCCAATGCCATCTTTCCCCCAAAGATCTCAGTGCTCTTTTGCCCACAGCATCCAACTTATCTTTACTCCATCCTTTTTTGGGGGTGGAGAAGAGTACTACGTCTGTGATTTCATCAGTGTAGGGAACTCCCAGTGAAGAAACTCCCACTACCAGTGCACAGTCCCCCCACCCCCCACTCCACTCTACAACCAGTAATCTTAGACCCTGAGAGGTAGGTTAAGTGAACTGCCCAGTATCACCCAGTCAGTAGAGTATGTGCTAGAGGTGGAGTTTGTACCCAGCTCTTTCTGACTCTGAGAAGGCCTCTCTTTACATACACCTCTATTACCCTTTAGGAGGTCAGGAATCATAGGAATCAGAATTCCAGATACTTGAAGAGCTTTTTACAGTTTCCCAGAAATACCCATTAGTACACATTATCTCCTTAGACTTTTGCAACATGCCTATGACAAGGCAGTATAGGGATTATGATCTTGACTTTATAGAGCCTAAAGTTTGGAGAAGTCACATGATATAGCCAGGGTCTTCTGGCTAGGAAGTGGCCACATGAAGGCTATACCCCAAGTCTTCTCAGTTCTATGTCAGGGCTCCTTCCTCTACAAATGGGCAGAACTTAAGATATTATTCTCTCTACCTCTCTCTCCCTACCCCTCTCTGTATGTAGTTATATATTATAGACATATTTCTATGTAATTTTATATTACACATATTGTATATATAATAAGTTGATATAGATTATATCATATATTTATATGTTATTGAAAGAGTAAATTTTTTAGTAAATAACCTTTTCTAAAAGCTATTTAAGTATAACTGGAAAGTTGTTAATGTGAAATACACTGATGGGGGTCAAGATCCACAGTACTGAAATCTAAACCCATAAGATTATTCCTAAAATCCTAAGTAGTTCTAGTCAACTGACTCTCAGGGACAGAATCTGCTTAGATAGATAGATAGATAGATAGATAGATAGATAGATAGATAGATAGATAGATAGATAGACGACAGATAGATTGTTGTTCAGTCATTTTTCAGTCATGTCTGACTCTTTGTGACCCCATTTAGGGTTTTCTTGGCAGAGATACCAGAGTGGTTTGCCATTTCCTCCTCCACCTCATTTTACAGATGAGGAAACTGAAGCAAACAGTGACTTGCCCAGGGTCACACAGCTAGTAAGTGTCTGAGGCCAGCTTTGAATGCCCAAAGATGAGTCTTCCTGATACCAAGCCCCTGGGGCTCTGTGTACTATACCACTCTTGGAACAAGCCTGACTCCCTTAGCTTAGGAGAGTGGGGATTCAGACCCACCTACAAAGGAGACAGAGGCTACAGAGTAAGGAAATCATGAAAGGTTAGAACTGGAAGGAACCTTAGAGACCAGCTCGTCCTATCCCCTCATTTGACATGGGCCCAGAGGGGAACAGCGACTTACCCAAAGTTACCCAGGTAGTTGGTGGCAGAGCTGGAACACTAATACCAATTCTTGTGACTCATCTTCCTGCCACGGCGAGTAGCCACACCCAGAGCCAGAGCCCTGGCCCGTGGGCACATGCTGAAAGGTGGAGCAGCCCATACTAGCTTTCCAGAGAGCATTTCCATGTTCCTGCTTGACCCTGGAATGAGCTGAGCTAGCTGCAGCATCCCTCTTCAGGAGGGCAGACTATGGATGGACAGAAGAGTTATCCTACATAAAGATCGACCTCGCCCAAGGGGTCCAAAATTTGTAGGCTCCTTCCCTCAGGTGATGCCCTGGGAAGAGTTCATCAGCCTTTGTCCATTTATTTCCTATACACCTCCTTCTCTCAGGCTGTTGTTCAGAAGTTACCCAGACCCCTTGGGACCAGCAATGTTTCTGCAAATATCTTGTGCTATTTTCAGACAAAGAGTCCTGTGAACTGCCACCCGTATATCCCTGGAGCACAGGCTGCCCGTCCCTACAGGGCTCACCTTTCTGAATTGGTTCAAGTCTAAAAAGCCAGTGAAAAATTGGAAGAACTTCATGTCAAAGAGTCCCTGGGGCACATTATACTTCCAGGTGGAAGAGAGGCTCACAACAGAAGGCATGGCTACTTTTCCAAAAATCTAGACTTGGGGGCAGCAAAGTGATACAATAGATAGAGCACCAGCCCTGGAGTCAGGAGGACCTGAGTTCAAATCTGGCCTTAGACACTTGACACTCACTAGCTGTGTGACCTTAGGCAAGTCACTTAAACCCCAATTGCCTGGGATGGGGGACAGTTAGACATGAATAGGCATTTAACAGAAACAGCTGAATGATCCCAATGGGTCTGACCACTGCTAGCAACTGCCTAATGAATGAGGTATTGGGGAGGATGTTTCTGGGGAGCCTGGGATATTCCAGAGCCAGAAAGATATAAGAACCCAATCTGTACTCCTACTTGACACTTGTTGTCCCCAGAGAGACAGTTGACTACAACTACTCAGGGTTTTAGGAATAATCCTATGGGTTTGGGTTTCAGTACTGTGGCTTTTGAGCCCCCATCCGAGTACTTCACATTAACAATTTGCCAGCCATACTTAAATGGCTTTTAGAAAAGGTTATTTACTAAGAAAGTATGGTATGAACAATAGGTACAAAATGTTCCCAGAAGGCCCCTGGGGAGAGTAAGCTCTTAAAGTACAATGACAGTGAGGCACATGTGTACAGAATATATATGAGAAAAGAATATCTTTCTGCTTCTGGTTACTGAAAGTCCTTTTCTTCCTTCTTAAAGTCCTCACGAAATCCGCCTTAAGTGTAGCTCTCTGTTGGGCTACCAGAATCAGTATCTCTGTTCAGGCAACATCCAATGCTTGACTCTTCGTGGTCTCCTGCTATTCTGAGCAACAGGATTGGCCAACAAGAGTAAGAATGACCATTTCCATTTCCGTATTGTATAAAGGTTTGTTAAACCCTTCCATCCAGACAACCCTGTTAGGGAGGAGCTTATGTGCTAGACACCGTGTTAAGTGTTTTACAAATATTATCTCATTTGATCCTCACAGCTCTTGGGGGTAGGTGCTATGATTATCACCATTTTACAGTTGAGGAAACTGAGACAGAGGTTAAATGAATTGCCCAGGGTCACACATCTAGTAAGGGTCTGAAGCTGGATTTGAACTCAGGTCTTTCTGACTGCAGACCCAGAATTCTATCTACTGTATGACATGGCTGCAAGTATTACTATGGTCATTTTATAGTTGAGGAAACTGAGGCTTGAAATGGTCAAGTGACTTGAAGCAGGTCACACAGCTAGTAAGTGACTCCAGCCTAGATCCTGTGACTCCCAAGATCAGTGCTCTTCCCGTTATTCTACACGGCACTGATAAGCCTCCATAAGGTGCCCAGCCCTATGCTAGGCACTTTAGGTACCTGTAAAAGCAGAGGCTGTCCCCCTGGGGGACAGATAGGTAAGTCAAAACTGAGTCATAAAGAATAAATGGAAATTCATGCTGAAAAATACAGCACTTCTCACGGAGGCAGCAGTATATATGGAAAAGAGTATCGCACTTGGCTTTAGGAGAGCTCTGGGCTTAACTCCTAACTACTCTGTCCGTGTACTATACGTATTAATTTCTATATGTGTTGTCTCCCCCATTAGATTATAAACTCCTTGTGACCAGGGACTGTTTTTGACCTGCGTAGTATCCCTGGCACTTTGCCCAGTGCTTGGCACATGGTAGGTGCTTAATAAATGCTTTTTGTTTTCTAAAAGCACTTCTCTGGCCTCTGTTCTCTGTGACCGTGGGCAAACTTCTGAACTTCAGTTTCCTCATCTGAAATATAAAGATAAGACTTGACTCTACATATTTCCTGGTATTATTGCGAGAAAGGTGTTTTGGGGACCTTAAAGCAATATAGAATTGCAAGTTATTACTCCCCAAAATGAGTCCAGGGGTAGGACCAGGCAAGAGACTATGTGACCATGTTAGATTAGAAGAGGAGTAGTAAAGGGCTGCTGAAAAAAGTTGCCCTCTCTGGACCCAGGGCTCACAGGGTCAGGGGCCTGATCCTGAGAAAGGGATTCTGAGGCAGCCCCTGTGTCCTCAGCACCACGGACAGCAAGGTGTTGACCAGACAGCCAACACAGATTTCATCCTCAGATTGCCAGACTGAAAGTCAGCAGTGAGGGGCCAATGAGCCACTTTCTTCCCTCCTTTCCCCTCTCCCCATGTGACCTCACATCCTCAGGATGATGTGGGAAGCAAAGAGTTAATTTTATTTTTAGGGGCCCTTGGGTTTTTTCATGGCTGGTTTCACAGAGGAAATAGAGCGTGACCACATCGCTTAGGCTCCTGGTGTCTGAGCAAGCTCTCCCACCATGCACAGCTAGCTCTGCCTGCCATCTCCCGGACTAGGGTGAATGAGCTGATGCCTTTTCCCATAGGCCTTCTCCCCAAACTCCTTTCTCCCAGGCAGTCAAACTGGACTCCAGTCTCTGCCCTCTGTCCACTGACTACCCAGAAGGAGTGATAGCAGACCCTGTATTGCCTATGGTCTCCCCCCTCTCCAATCCCTCTTCTACACGGCTTCCAAAATAGCCTCTCTAACCCACAGATCCAGAGAAGAGGTATAAAAAGAGGTATAAAAATGTACCTCTCTGCAGAGGTGGGGAACCATGGGTATAGAATATTGCATTTGCTCTCAGAAATGTTGCTATCTTAGTCAATTTGGCTGGCCTGATTCCCGCCCCCCTTTTTTCTTTCCCTTTTTCCTCTTTGTCAGAAGATGATTAATAAGTACTTGTTATAGGGTCAGCTAGGTGGCGCAGTGAATAGCACACCAGCCCTGGAGTCAGAAAGACCCGAGTTCAAATCTGGCCTCAGACCAGGCACTTGACGCTTCCACTGTGTGATCCTGGGCAAGTCACTTAACCCCAATTGCCTCACCAAGTAATCATAAGTACTTGTTGATTGATTGTGCCAGGCCCTGGACTAGTGCTGGGAAATGAAACAATCCCAATTATTAAGTAGCTTACCTTTTAAGGGGGGAGACTAGCAGGACTTAGTTAAGTATAGACCAGATAAAGAGAGAACAGATACCAAATTGTCCAGTACGAGGCAGTTTGGGAGGCAGAATGTGAGCAGCTAACCCGGGGTAGAGGAGGATCAGGGAAGGCTTCCTGGAGTAGCTGGTTCTCCAGCCTCTGTCAAGTGAAGGGGAGGAGGCAGTGGAGTCCAGGCAGAGGCACCTCCCTCCAAAGGGAGATGGAGGAGTGCAAGAAGACCAATTTGGCTGAGGGGGCATGATGTCCAGTGAGGCTGGAAAGATAGACTGGGGCCAGATTGGGAAGGGCTTTAAACAGTTTCTGTTTTAACCTAGAAGCAATAGGGAGCCATGGAGTTTATTGAGTAGGGAAGTACCACAGTCAAATCACTTTGGCAGCAAACTGTGGAATCAGACAGTCCAATCAGTGGAGGTGGTACTAGGATATTTGGCCAGGATCTAATCAATTGTGATCTAGCCTTGCAGATAAACCCCAGGAGGGTTGCATCCCACAGAAACTTTGGACCAACTTCACCCCTAAACCCAGGGTCAGACAGTGAATCCACAAGTAGAGATCTTTTCATCTGCCCTTCAGTAACTGGTCACAGCTTTATCTGTGATTATTGGAATGAAAGAAATACTGTCAGCCTTCCCACAGGAATTTCAGGCTCCATTTAAAAAGTGAAGGAGGAATTTGGAGGGCTAAGCATCTTACCTGAGCCTCTGACATCACAGCCACAGGTATCTTAGGTCGAACAGGCATTGTGTAAAGGAGAGGATGCTGGGCCTGGATTCGTGAAGACCCAAGTTCCATTCCCATCTCAGCTGCTTACCAGCTGTGTGACCCTGGGCGAGTCACTTAGTGTCTCTGGGCCTCAAAGGGGAAGGCACTAGCAGCTGGCCAAGAAAAGCTTCAGGCATCATCATCGTCGTCGTCATCATAGCTGGCATTGATATAGAGATTTAAAGTTTGCAAAGTGCTTTACAGATATAATTTTGTCTGATCCACACAAGGCCTCTAAGAGGTAGGTACACTTATTATTACCATTTCACAGAGGAGGAAACAGTGACTAGCCCAGGGTCACACCACCAGAGTCTGAGGCAGGATCTGAGCTCAGGTCTTCCTGACTCCAGGCCCTGCGTTCTAGCCACTACACTTGTTGTTACATTTCTCAAATATGCGCCCTTTTCTCCTCCAATGCTTCCACCACCCTGGTACAAGCTTTTGTCCTCTCACACCTGAACTGTTGCCTCCTGCTAGGTCTGCCTGTCTCCAGTCTTGCCCCACTCCCACCCAGCATGCTTTTCCTAAAGCCCAGGTCTGACCACGCCACACTCCTACTCAGTAAACTACAATGGCTCCCTGTTACCTCCAGGCACACAAACACACTGCTCCATTTGCCTTTTTAGGCCCTTCCTGGCCTGTCCCCTTCCCACCTTTCCAGTCTGCTTTCACTTTACTCCCTTCCATACACTCCATGATCCGGGGACACTGAGCCTGCATCTCTTCATGCCGACGCTGTCTTCCTCCAGTTCTGTCATAGCTTCTCCCTGGCTTTCTGCGTGCCTACAATCCGATTCTGTGTCTTCATCTGCTCCTGTTGACTCCAGTCTCACCTTCTGTAGGAAGCCTTCACCTCCCATGTGCCCTGTATGTGTCTTGTGTGTGTGTTTTTGTGTGTTGTCTCTGCTCTGCCTTGAGGATATGAGCTTCCCCA